AATCTAAAATACAAGAAGAATTGTAGATTGCGTGTTTCATTGTTCTGAATTCGTTTCTAGAAAATGTACTAATATATAAAATTCTATACTATTTAAATTTTAAGCAACGCACAGTTTCCTGTTTAACAGTGTATACTTAGGATACTTGTCGATACAGATAAAATATGAAAATGAATTCTTATCGATATCCAGATGAATGAATGGAAATAAATATTAGTTGGATAGAAACGAGCTTTACGACGATTTCACTCAATTAATTTGCTCCAGGGAGAATGCAATTACTAATATCCCAGGCGTTTGTTGCAAAGTCAGCCCCATGACAATTCCAGCAACACCTTGACTTATCTGAGGACGATTAAGAAGAGTGTTCCAATTCAGTTGATTAGACAGTAGCAATTACGCGGCCTTCTTAAACAAACTTCCTTTTTAAAATTATCTCAGTACATTAAAATTCACTTCCTTTGTCAGTGATCTTTCTTCCCTTGCCAGATTAAGAGAAATCGATTTTTCATTCCTGTGCTATTAATATTCAGTAATTTTAAAATACCTTTAAGGTTCTTGAGTAACTAAATCTATCATCTCACAGATTAGGTGATGTTTGATTTGTTTAATTGGTTAAGAGTAAACTTAGGAAATGCACAAAAGATTCTTTATCCTATTGGAGTAATTTAATGCAAGTATTGTAAAGCTGCATTTTGAATAAATTGCAACGAATTATTACATATTAGTGTAATAATGCGAAAAAGTTGTCTTTTCTTACAAACTTAATGAGGCATTTGTAGAGTCGCTAGATTTTTTTGAAGCAGAAGTGAAAAGTGTGCAGTAACCACGCCGGGTCTCGAACACTGGACCTCGTGAATACGCTTCGATTTACTTCCAATTACATCACGAAGAATATATAGAGAAAATACCTTATACACTTCGCCTTGTAAAATTTACCCTTGTATATTTTTTGGAGGCCGGAGAGATGAAAAATTAGCAACGCCTTCACCGGGAATCGAACCACGGACCTCTGGAATACCCGACCAGCGTGCAGAACCACTACACCACGAAGGACGCTAGGATGGTGGGAGAAATACCTTATTATGATACCCAGTCGCTAAAACCTGGTGGTTACAAATTATCGTGCAAGACCTTGATTTCATGTGCCACTTACAGAGCCATTAGTCTTTTTTTTTTTTTTTTTTTTTTTTTTTTTTTTTTTTTTTTTTTTTTTTACAAGCAGGAAGCGGAAACAAATGTGCAATCTGAACCATGAACCTCTCGAATGCGCGTCGAGTATGCTACCGTTACACCACGAAGTCATGCTGGAAGGAGTGCGAAAAACACCTTATTTAGGTTTTTCTAAACCAGGAACGTGAGAAAAATGCGAATTATCCTTACCAGGACTCGAATCTGAAGCTTAGACCTCTGAAATACTCCCCGAGTGTGCTACTGTTACAACTAGATCTCATACAGGAAAGACACAGAAAGTATCTTATACATTAATTAGCTATTTAATTATGTTGGTCCATGAGCCGAATGAGTACTACTGATCTAAGTGCCGTAAAATCAGCAAAGTTATGAATGAATCTGTCATGAAACCAAAAAGCACACTTCGCATCCTTTCTTAAATTTCTTATTAGCTGTTTTCGACGTATATCGCAGCCAACATCAGGGTATTATTAAAACATTAGAAAATTCATAACTTTGATGAGCTACGAATTTTCGTTTCCTATTTAATTATTGGAATTATGAGCCGTACAATGTTATGAGTGCAATTCAGTATATTTTCGTAAAATCAGTGTTATTACGAACGAATCTGTCATGAAAGCAAAACGTTAGCTTCGAACTTGCAGATTCTTTCCTGATTTTTGTTTTCACTCTCCTCGCTAAATAATGTAATGTAAAATTTATGTGGAGGTATGCATAAGCTGATGATATGAAAATAATTAGTGCATTCTGAACGAAAATGAAGAATTTTTCTACTTATTTTGGAGCCGGGACAGCTGAAAAATCATAAGATTTAAATTTAGAATTAATATGCTGCTGAATTTAATTTACTACCAAATTTAATTCTGGCTTTAAAAAAAATGAAATTATAATTTAATTTATATTAACAGTAAAAAATCTTATTAATATACCTTATCCAGTTATTTTCGAAGATGTATAAAACTTAGTCAATCTTTGAATAATTCTGAATTTCCAGCTCCGATAAGTTTTGAGCTTTTCCTAGGTTATTAAATGAGGTTTAATAGTTATAACGTTAAAATAACTCATGCCTTTTCTTAGAATTGAACAATTCATTTTTGAATAGGAAAATAGTTCCGGAAAAAGAATTGGCAAACAATAGTTAAACAATGGCACAAGCGAAAACAGAAATGTTTAATTCTTGAATTATAAAGTTAAACATGCGACTCTGAAGATGAGAATAACTTAAAATGTGACTAATATATCTAATGGATATCTAATGGTTAGCTACAGAAGTTAATCTAAAACTTCACGAGTCACTGCCACTGATATTGCTTAACTATTAGCAGAAATTACAACTACAATTTAAAAATATCAGCCGAAGTTTGTTTTCTACACCTAATAAGCATTACAAAACATTTTTTTTTTATTTTCAATGGCTAGAACAAAAAGTTACACAGAATTATAAACAAAAATTACAAACAATTTAACTAAGAGCAAAAAGACTGAAGCCCTCATGCCTCCCAATATATCGACTGCTCTGCAAGACTACGAAGAGTCCCACATCGAAGTAGCCTGTTCAGCTAGCCCACATCGTACCTGTCCATTTCTTCTCCAGAATCACAAAGTGGACAAATAGGAACGCTTGAAGTTTTTATGTGGTGCAGGTGGGCAGCAAGGCAATCATGTTCTGTAGACAGGTGGAAAACTGCAAATGCATTGCATCTTGGATTATCGGGAATAAAAGAAGGACTTATCATTCTCCAACTTCTTAAGACTGTACAAGTCTGAAGATTTCGTAAGATATTAAACATAAATAATTTTTAATTAATCTTTCAATAAGAAATGGCTGTATTAAAACGTTTTACTAAGCTGGCATCTCTTTTTGCAAGGAAGTCCGTTGTTCATTGCCCCAAAGGCCATAATAGCCAGGCACCCACTGGAGCAGGATTTGTTTCTCCTTTAAAATGAGAGTACGAAGAGAGGAAGCATGCATACGAAAACTGTAGATCACTTAGCCGAAAAGCGTTTCCAGGGTGCACCACGAGGAGGTAGACCTACGTCGCAACCCGCATTACAAAACTTTAAATGATAAACTACGAAATGAGCTTTTGTTCTATACACTTGACAAACACAGGCTACCGGCCTTAATGTTAAGATACTGCTTTAGGTATAACATTATCACAGGTGTTTGTAGATTTTAATTAACTAATTCAAATATACAAACATCTAGGTCTGAATAGATATCTCTATTTTTTAATAATTTACCAAAAGCAGAAACTCCTCTCAGGGGCACTTTTACACTTCCAGTAGACTTTCTCAAACAAGATAGCAGAATCATGGTGCAAGTTTTACCGTCCATATTTACTTCCTGCTTTAAAACAGTGTTTCTCAACCTTCGGTACTTCCAAATTCATAAATATTATAACAATATACCTACAGTCTTTTACAGAAGAAAATCTTAAAATATGGCAACTGTGTATGTTACCATGCATATTGTGTAATGCGTTAGCTCAAGCTTTCTCAACGTGTCTGTTGTTGCCTGTTTTATTTACGTTTATTAATGTTAGGAGACATAGCGTGGGGACACGAACCTGTATTTGTGGCTAATGAGTACTCATGCTAAACGATGCATATTAGTTTTCTGTGGAGAAACGCTCATTATTCTTTGAAGTCCGTTGAATAATGGCAACTGCATTACTAGTGTAATGAATTGAATGAACTTCTTTAAATAATTTTATTAAAAAGAAAACAGAAGTTAAGCAAATGACCACGAAAATTTTAACCAAATTCAATGTTATTAAAAGTTCCGATTATTTCAGCTGTTGCCACTTGAGCAAAGGAAAAGCGATGTGAAGCGGTTAACAAGTGGCACTTCAGTATGATAGATCAAGGATTCTTAACCTCTTGGCCAGTGGACCGTCACTGGACTTCTGTTTTTATATGTAATGATTTAGTGATTATTTTTATAACTTTCTGTGGTTTTTCTTAAAGGTTTATTTACATATATATGTTAATAATACTTATATATAATAATAATTATATATATATATATATGTAATAATAAAATTCCATAGTCAAGAATACACTTAAAATTCTAACTGTATGTTCTTTTCATTTTAAATGGCGACGGTCTCTTATTTGAAAGTACGTGGAATTAAAAACACAGCCCCGTAGTCAAGTTGTTCTTCCCGCCTTTTCTACACGTACAGTTTTAGAATGTTCTGGAAGTATTTAAAGCGAACTGGATTGGCTGATGAGGCTGACGTCATTTCTTGAAAGCTCCGCCTTTCCAGAGGCTATAAAAAGACTCGCAAAAAGAATATCGGAGCTTTTTCTTAAATGTCACAATGCAGTAAACTTCATACAAAAAGTTATTAGTAATTCTTTTTATTTACTCCGGATATCTGATTTTTGTAACTGCTATTTCTCCTTAATGATAATAAATGGATCCTGCTTTTTAAACTTATCATCTGATTATTTAAGCTACGACTAAAGCTGATACATCACATATATATAAGGAAAATGAAGGAAATGAAATTTCCCAATTAATTATTATCTTATGCATAAAATCTAAAACACGAAATTGATGATCATGCTTGGAACAAATCAACGTGTGATTTTTCTGATTTTTCCGAGTGATGGTTAGACACTTGATCCGAGTGATGGTTAGATACTAAAACTCTATCCCACATGCCATTTATTAACCAATTTATTTGTTATACCTGCACATGTATTACTGTATTTGTGATGTTTCTGTAATGTAATGCATTTAAGGACTTTAGTCTTAGCTGTATTTAATGCTCATATTTTATGTTTGTATTTTGCAGCCTCCAGAGGATATAACGTACGTAGAATTATCACTTCCTAGGGAACATCACAACATCGCTACGGTCAGGCGGAAAGAGCCGCCAACAGAGTATGCTAACATAGACCTACACAGTCATTTACACATGCAGACTATTGTTGTGGAACGAGAAGAAGAGGATGAAGTCGGGAACAATACATGCGAAACTCCTCTAATGAGCAGCAGACGAGAAAGCGCCGTTTGAAAAGCGGTGAATAATATCTGTATGGACTGCAACTGAATTTAAATTTCCTTCGTTTGAGGACATCCTCAGCGCTGAGAGTGGACACTTTCCTGTGATTTACATGACCTTCAGGTACAGAAGATTATTAGGAAGTGTTCAGTGAAGAACTCATGCTGTGGCTCACGGGTCTAGCACTTTCTGAAACACACATTTCTTCATGCCCTAGGACCACAGTACTATTGAAGAACATAAAGTTTTTGATGTACTTATTTATTTTTAACTTCACATTTGTGATCATTAGTTTGAAAATGAGTGGTGACTGTAATATGTGGCGATTTCTTTCGACAGATGTAATTAGATACAACATCAAGACATGTGTCGTTTAATATTTTCTTAAGAGGTACTGGCTCACTGCAGAAGAGTTAATTTCAGTTACAGTGTGAATGCTGTGAACGACTCGTATTTCCTTCACTGTCTCCTCTCACTCCTGTTTCGCAAAGCTTAAGTTTTAATTTATGTGACACTAATTCCCTTTTTCTCCTTCGAGATTTGCTTCTCAATCTCTTTTAGATTATGTATTTTTTTCTTTTATAAATATTAACATTTATAAATTAAAACTTTGCTTCATTATCGCTTCAGAAAGTCGTCTAACCAATACAAAATGTTATCACAATTCGAAATTAAAAGGGCATGGACATTTGTTGATATTGTTGTCGTTTTTACTTCCAGCTTAATGCAATCTTTGGGGGGATGGCTAATATTCACCAGTAATTTAACAGTATCATCATCCAGACATTACCCAAGATGCACTACCGGGGCTACAGATTTTACACATGCGAAATGTTCCGTCCCAATTTTGATGAAGAGCACGGGGAGATCGCTCCGACGGTCTCCCACTCCTTGAGAGAATTTTTGACTCACCGTACATTTTGTGTGCCACCATGCCACAAAGACAGCGTGCATATACAAACATCCATGCCATCTCTGGGATCCGAAACAGAGCCTAATGATAGACCATCCAAGAGTACCAATCACTGTATCGATCAGGGGTGAACTATTTAAACTATACCTTCAAATCATAAATTTGCTTTCCTTTGCGCATGCACTTTAAAATTAATTTTAAGACTGTTCGTAATAAATTACCAGAGAAAACATCGAATTTAAATGTATTATACCAGTAAGAAAAATTTTAATGAATTATGAAAAATATATACCTTAAAATAGAGTTTTTAAACTTTGTTGTTATTTATGCTTTTATCTAAATGCCTGTATTTACAGCATGCATTTATTCTCCTTAGCAGGTAAAATTATAATTTTCAGTTTGTACCTTTAACAGTTTTATATAAATTAAATTTATCGATTTCAAAATGTATGAATGGCTATAACCACACATATTGCAATAAATATTTTTCGGAATTGAAAATACATACTATTTTGTATGTTTCATTTAAAAGTTTTAAGATCGAAAGAGCCTCAATCCTTTACCTTCGTTACCTGCAATCCTCGCTGCGCTGTAGAAAAAGCCTTTTCGTCATTCAGTTTATTTAAACAGCAAACGACAACCCGTGTCTCCTCCTCCTCTTTTTTTTTTTTTTTTTTTTTTTTTTTTTTTTTTTTAGTGTAACTTACACTTTCAATTTCAGCATTAGCAAAATTCTCTTTCTACTAAAGATTCGATTAGTGCGCCTATCTAAAAATGTATGCTTTTAACTGACGCTAGAACCATCATAATCAGCAAAAAAACATACCTGCAATGCCTGTACTTGCTTGCTCTTATATTATAAGCTAGCCCTTTGAAGGCTAAAATATCCGATACGGTTTTTCATTCAAAAGACCACAGCTGCCCGTAACGGCCGAGATTCGGTGTTATTTTCTTTTCCTTCCCCTAAGGTATGCAGTAGCAGGTGCAGTTTACCCAAATATATTACATCAGTTTATTGCAGACAGCTTGTCCCAATAGGCTAATGGAAGCTTCTTTGTTAGGAAGTAGAAATGGTATCATTTGAAATCTTCACCCCTCTGTGTGCGTTCTTGGATGGGGAGAAGAGGGAACGGACGGGGATGGGTAATGGACGTTAACAGGCGTTTCAGATTTTAAGTATACAGGTTAGCGAGATCTTCGGTTTTCTATGGGTTAATCTAACTATGAGTTTATTGAGCATGTGGGGTCTCACACAATATATTATTTCTAAAAATTATTTAAAATCTTACGCTGCGTAATATAGAAGCAAATAACACTATGCATTCTTTTATATACATACATCTGTAAGTTTTCATACATATCAAAGCATTAAAATAACTTCTCCCAAGGTGCCCCTAACGCTTATCTTGGGCATACTCTTTAATGCACTCGTTAATATCGTACTCTAGAAATCGGACGAATTTTAAATTTAACTGTTTTCGATTTTACTCTTAATTGAATATTCATTAATATGCTTCATAAAAAGGGATTATGACTTTTATGAAATGATACATAAATACCTACTAAAATATCATAATCCTTTCATAACCAGAAGTATTTACTCTCAGATATGCAGAACATTTTAATAAAATGCGTTTAGATTTAATTAGCTTTTAAATATTGTCCTATAAACTGCAAGTTTATATTTGAAATTGCATGCTACATAAACCAGAAATTTCCTTAAAATATATGTAAATCATTTGCAAAATATTTACTATTTTATTACATCATGAAAGGACTAAAGTAAGTACATTCCATTATCTTTAATAGAGGAAATAAATTTAATGACATTCTGACAACAGTTTTACGCTACTTGAAATAAATAACATCTTAAAGCAGTAAGAATTATTTTGTACTAAATAATTTAGAAGTGCAGAAGTGCATTTGCGAATTTCTTTAAACAACACCTCTTTCACTTCTCTCATCCTTACAGTTTCATCGAGTAAAGTTCAGTAAATTTAAACGTGTTAACTCAGACTCAATGAAGACAGTTTTGTTAAAGTTAGGTATCTTTCAAAATGTTCCATTACAAATAAGCCTGATTCTGGATTATTGCAAACAAGCTTTTACGTTTATGACGCAAATTTAAACTGGCAAATCTTTGTAGCGTAGAGATATTAACGATCGAAACGCTTTGTGATCATCATCTGCTTTGCATTTTACGTAACTATATTACAAGTTAGAATCGAATCGTCATGAAATACGATATTTATTAAAATTTACATTAGTTTAAAATCATTCTGAATTAATACCAAAATCACTTAATGGATGGGAAAAGTTAAAATTGCGAAACGCAGCTAAATTAATGAGGATTTCGCACTTTCAAAGAAGCGTGAAGCTTGAATTGTTTGTGCCTCATATATCCAGAGATACAATTACTTGAGTCGTCTGTTTTTAATTGTGAAATTCAATTTAACTCTTTGTGTTTTTACTTTTCCATTTGAGTTAAAGGACAATATGAAAAACGTTTACCATAAGGCACAGAATTTCAAAACCTTGTAAATTAATTTTATGTAAATATTTACGATATGTTTTGTTTTTTACGCATATCTCGTCAAATTCGTAATCTGGAAGCATAAAAAAAACATATTGTATATAGTCTTACCTTTCTTTTATTCTGCGGATTAAGCCCTAAAAAGTGCTACATTTCTAGAAATACGTATAATAATCAGCAGTGGGGATACAACGTCAAATTCCTATTCATGCTGGAGGTATTTATCATCAGCATGTAATATATTTATCATAAGTATGTAACATAACTGTAGTAACTTAATTTCTATTAGATTTTAAGTGCACAATGCACAACTTGTTCTTGAGCATAAAGTATTTTTTTAGCTCAAGAGCAATATTTTAAACTTTTTATATCTTTATGAAACATATTACCGCAAAAGGAAATCTAAAATTCATACCTGCGTTCAAGTTATACTTATGGTTTGTAATCCCAGTTAATCAAAGTAATTTATGTTCTTTTGTATCTAAACCTGATAACACTAAAATAAAGTTGGAAAAGAATAAATTTCTATTTCCACTTAAAAATAAAGCCAAACAGTTTTAGTTTATCTCCTTAAAATGCACTATTTTGTATTTTTCATGATCTATACATTGCATAAAGAACTTTCATTCATGAAACAGAGACTGATAGAGACAGTGTAAAGAAATATGTATGAGACAAAACGTTATTGGCTGAAATTTAATATCGGCAGACTCGTGGGCCAATTAAGAATGACCACTTTGACATTTTATAAAGGTAAAAGACCTCAGTGAGAGCAGGACCATAAGCAGACTCAGATTTTTGAACTATGGATTTGGAAATTTTTTTCTACGTACAACATGTACTATAAATATCTCTGCACAATCGTGGTACCAACAACCATCGTTCTTCCGTGTGTAAATAGTAGAAAAATGGAAATGGAATATTGCGTGACATTTTCTATTGCTGTAATCACACATTTTCCGTCGTTTTATTTTCTTGGTTAACATCGCGCTAAAATTGATACTTTCTTGAAAGATTACATTGGAAGATTCTGGCAACACATCCAAACCGAATTAAAGGAGAAAGAAAGAAGTTGCAAAATTCAAGGATGTGACCTTTTGTCAAAGTATTTACTATTTCCCTTTATTGATGAAATTCGAATGATTACTGTGCACAAAAGTATATTAAAATCATAAAAAAATATTGTTTAAATTCACAGAATATGTCACAATGTAGATTATTGGCACAGTATGTTTAACTTATGATGTGAAAATGCAAAATTAATGTTTGTCAAAGACATTTAATTATTGAAAATTTAACAAAATATTGTGGCTAAACGCTTTCAGCTCGTTTTCTGCATAAATAATCATTGTGTGATTTGATATTTATTGATTGGTTTGAAATATTCTTAAATGTAAAAATATTTTTGTTTTGAAACTAACTACAGGAGTAAATTGTAAGTACAAGCGTAAATTAAAAAATTATTAATGTTAATCTGGAGAGCAGATAATTACAAAATTGGTATATTATTACATTACAGCTTGCAATAAATATTGTAATCCTGTACTTGAGGAATAAGCTTTTGTTGCTTCATTAAACATTAGCCGCTTAAACCTTTTCAGCAAGCAAAATAATTTTATTCATGATGCAAAATATAGATTCTCATAGAAAGTATAATTTACATATTTGCTCAGAATTTTCTTTCTTGTATTTTGGAATTAAAAAAAAAAGAAAAGAAAAAAGTATTATTATTCTTATCTGAAACTTTCTGACATTTCTTTGAAAACATTGAAATGAATACTAAAATATCCCTTATGATATTTCTCTTTCTGAAAATGTTTGATATTTCTTTGAAAACATTTAAACGAATATTAAAATATCCTTTATTAACTTTATCTGAAATTTTTCGACATTTCTTTGAAAGCCTCGAAACGAATACTAAAATATCCCTTACTAACTTTCATTTTATCTGCAATTTTTTTATGTTTCTTTGAAAGCATCAAAACGAAACTAAAATATCCCTTATTAACTTTCCCTTTATCTGAAATTTTTTGACATGTCATTTAAAGCATTGAAACGAATTGTAAAATATCCCTTATTAACTTTCACTTTATTTGAATTTTTTTTGACATTTCTTTGAAAGCGTCTAAGCTAAATCCCTTATTAACTTTCACTTTAGCAGAGATTTTAGAAAGCATTGAAACAAATATTAAAATAAGTTTCATTTAACTTCAAGTTTATCTGAATTTTTTTATTATTATATGTCACCTTTTCAGTACATAATTTATGAACTTAATTTAGAAAATATCAACTTACATCAGATATGCTTAATATTATAATTTACGTAACAATCTTTGTTCTGTTATTCTAAATAAAAATTTTGGTATTTAAATATTTATAAATTTTACGTAAATATTGTCACAGTGTTGCAAATTACATACGAAAATATAACTCACTTAAATCTAAATTTGTTGTCTTAAACTAGTCTGTTTACTTCAAAAAAAGTTTTTCCTTCCTAATTAAATATTACATCCAATATAAGATTATAATTAAATTTATTTGCGTGAATGTTTTATCATGAAAACATTTCCCAGATCAGAATATCGAAACCATACTTCTAAACTGAAAAACGATTTTAAAATTCTGTGTGGCAAAAATTGATTTCTAAACATATTTAGGAGTTTGGTATACTTAATGCTTTGCTTAATACTTAATGCTTGCTTGTAAAGATCACATTTGTCCTAATTCTTATTCAAATATACTTTAAAAACATTTTAAAATAAATATTATTACTGCGCTCTTAAGAACTAAAAATAATAAGACCTGAATGAAGCATTTTTTTTATCTGCCTTAAGTATATTTTTAAAATTAATTGTTGAAAAAACTAATTTTTAAAAAGAGCGAAAGTATGTCTCTTCATAATCGTTTTAAATTTCAAGCAGCAAACAGCGGTAAAAATAGAGAAAGGGAATTATTATTATGTGATGTTATCCTTTTGAAAATGAAATACATATTTGTAGGGATTTGGGTGTAATGATTGAATGTGTTTGAATAAAATAAAAACGCTAGCTTTCTTTTTCATTACCTCTTTTATGTACTTTGAACTGTTATAGTAATAAATAAAATTGCACAATAAAATTATTTTATAATTAATTTTTCTTTCTTTCTTTCGCTTTAACAATTCTGTAACAAAGTGTGATAATGAAATAATAACAATATTGAACAACTTTTATAGCTGACAATGGTTTGCAGTTTCTAGTTTTTCTTCTGAATACGTTGGAGGTTAGTTTTTTCATCACTTACTCATTTAATTTACATTCTCTTCAATATTTATAAAGGAAGAGGAACAAAATATTTATTTCTCACCATTTGAAGTATACAAGGCTTTTCCCACACTTCCAATTTTTGCTTTGCTATAAAAATTATCTGCTTGGAAATTCTCTTTTTATAATTTCAACTATATTTTTGAAGGTGTGGAGCATTCTCTGCTACTTAACAGTTTCGTTTTCATGCAAATGGCACTTTTAAAGAAGCAATGGATGGAAAGCTATGTTTATGCTCTTTCCAAAGAAAATTATTCGCATCTAGTTATTTAAAAAGCTCTGAAAGACATAGTATTGTGCTATCTAACGCTTCGATAGGCTGTAATATTGTCAACAAGAAAGGAAAAACAAAGGGAAAGTTTGGCTTCATGTGAATAAATGTTTTCCAAATACAGTATCGAACCGATTAATTGAAACAAGATGAAAATTTGTATAAAACCTTTTATTTATCATTCATTTGAATAATAGAAACAAATTATTACGATTAATATTTTATGTGTCCTTTCTTGGCCTCAATTAAGAGTTTGATCCACTTTGGCATTGAATCCACATGGTTTTTGTAGGTTGTCAGCATCCTTTCATCTCTAAACCATATATTTATAATTGTGGTTATTAATTTTTCCACTGTGGTACAATCCGATAGAGACAATCGATTCTTGCAAATTGCCCAAAGATTCTCTATCAGGTTGATGTCTGGTGAATTCCCAGGCCAATCTAATATGGTGATATGGTTTTCCGAAAAACATTTGACCATTTTTTTCGAAATATGGCAGGGAGCCAAATCCTGCTGGAAAACTCCCTTGCCATTTGGCCACCGTTTTTTCAATCCTGGTATCATTCTTTCTACCAATATGGACTGGTACTTTTCACTATTCATCATACCTGTCACCGGAACAAGAAGCCCTAGTCCATAATATGAGAATTACCCCCAGAGCATTTTTAAGAGGATGTTTGGTGGTTTGGATGACGTGTGACGTGTTCAGTTTTTCCTTTCCACTTCGAATGAACCGAAATTGCTGGCCTTACACGATGAAGTGAGTCGCATCAGAAAACAAGACTCTTTTCCAATCTTCTACCATGCAATTTTCATATTTTTTGGACATGTAAGTCTTTTGGCTTTCATTGCCATTGTTAAAAGTTGTTTCTTGACAGGTTTCCTTGCTGGTCTTTCCGCTTCAAGAAGTCTTCGACGAACAGTCATGAGAGTTACGTGGACACCAGTTTTAGCCAATTCTCGAGCAAGGTCTACTGCAGTTTTACGGCAATCATTTCGGCTAGAATTCAGTAATCGTTGGTCATCTCGTTTACTTGTCTTTCTTTTTGTGCCACCCCTTCCTGTTCACTAAGATATCCCCTGACTCCCTATGGCGATTGATGATCCTATTGACTGTAGCCAAACTTACTCCAACCTCTGCTTCAATGTCTCTTTGAGTTTTTGTGGTATGCTTAGCCATCTCACTATCATTACTCGTTTATTCATCGATACATCCATCTTTGTAGGTTACGGTCAAAACGCTGAAATTGAACAACTTTTATTAGAAATAACAAAAAATAAGAAAAAACCACTCGACCGATATCAAAACACGTGATTCACACTGAGAAATGCTTGCTAGACTGTGACAAAAATAAAAACAACCTCAGTATTGCCATTACAAATAATAAAAATGTTGCCGAAGTGCAAAAATGCGAAAAAAAATATTTTTGTTTCAATTAATCTGTTCGGTATTGTATGCATCCAAGTCAAAAAAAAGGAATGTTTCAAGTGTCGCAGAAGTAAGATTTTTAATATTAAAAGGAAATCTGTCAAATCAAAGGGACACTTAATTATTTAAATGATCTGTGTCAACTGTAAGCAAAGTGGTTAATATTGATTTGAATCTTAGAAAGCCGAAAAAACATAATGCGCGTCGTCTTTTTCCACGACATATCGCCGAATGCAGATTGTGCTGCAGAATTTTTTATGCGAAACATATATCCGGAAAAAAATGGAAAAATATTGTCACAATAGATGAGACTTGGGAGTATTTAAATGTTTTCAATAAAATGAGATCCATATATTATTATCAAAGGAGAGTCTATTATTATCAAAGAAAGGGTCTTATAACATGGCTCAAAGAATCTTGAAAGTTTTTCAAAAGGATTTAGGGTTGTTGCTGAATTTTCATATAATGGCAAGTTAAAACAAAGAGAGTGGTGGAATATGTTAAGATGAACTCCGCCTAAGAAAACATATTTTATACCTAATTTTCAAATTTGAAATACCAACTCTGCATCCACAGAACCATCAATCAATAGAACTGCATAAAGAAGCAAAGCAAGTAGCCACCCTTTAAAATCCACTGCTAATTTCCTGGAAAAAATAGAACAAGAAACTGGTATTAAGGCTATACTCTTCACTCATATCCCTACTAAATCTCTTGATGGATCATCCTTGGATTTTTGGTCTTTTGGATTTTAAAAAAGAGGACTGACCAAACCTCGACCAACAACCTTCCTTGGACATTGGAAAGCTGTTTAAGAGGCATGGGAAAATACCTCTTCTGTTACTACAAATGCTTTATTATCTTGGAAATCATGGCTTAGAAAGACAGGGAAGTATAACAGTTATCAAATGGAATATTTATGACATAAATGTTAAGTAAAATATTTCTGTAAATATAATAAAAATCTTCCAACTGTGCGAAGAGCCTCTCCGTGTGTCCAATTGGCAACATTCTAGTTATAGAATCATTATTAAATGTTATTAAAAAACTGAAGGCAATCTCCAAAGCTGTCCACAAAGATTAAAAGAGTAAAGAAATTCGGTTTTTAAAGATAATGAAATTCGGGGAACCAAGTGAAGCTGCATAATAAGCTTACAAGCAAGCAAATGCAGATAATTTTATGATATCATTTTCCTCCAGATTGCCATTTTAGTGCTGGAAAGAAAATCTCAATTTCTTAGCGAGTGCAGTTAAATTTAGTATCTGAGGGCACAGCTTGCAACAGAATTTCATAAGAAATTCGATACATATGCAATAGGGTAGTCATCTGGAAAGTGCTTTATATATAAAGATATATAAAGCACTTTCCAGATGACTAAAGGATATAAGGGGATGTTCTAGTGGTAATGAAATAAGGAATAAATTTTAACAATCCAAGGGGGATAATACAATACAATATTGATTTGAAGGCTTTATGAATTCTTCTTAAACTCCTCTTAGTGTACACAATATTAAAAAATAATCATACATATATTGGCTGTATTGTTATTTGGTCAAGATATCAGGCAGTCATTATCAGGTAACTATGTGATTCTGAAATTTTAATGTATCTTAAGGTTATTCATGATCAGATTGAAATGCGTTCAAGCCTATCATGCATATCCTTTATGAAATAAAAAAGCACTGGATAAAATATTTATTATAAATTCAGTAAGCTTTCTCTCTACGATGACAGCGCACAATACCATATTCGACATGGTTATCTTAGCGCAAATGATTATCGGTAGTTGCGATTATCAATTTGCATAGTAACCTTACACTGTCAGAGTCTCGTATTGAATTATCTTTCCATTCATTTAAACAAAGACAAGAGTAGATGAAGAGTTGTGAAGTAGATGTGCGAGATAGCGGTTACAATCACATGAAATGATTTTGTGAACATACGTTTCTCAAATGTTGTTATTAAAATAGATCTTGTACGTATTGTTACGTAGTAACGCATAGAATGCGCGCAAAACCGATAATAGCTTGATAAAATATATATTACTAAAAGAAATACTTTACAGATCTGGACCTTTCCACAGAAGTATTAGTACAGCTCTCTTCGTTATCACAGAGCACAACCAATAGCTACGCTACAAACTACTAAGAACGTTAAACACAAGACAATGCAAAGCGCATTTAGATGCGCTTTGCGAAGGTAAGACGGATATCTCAGTTCTCCGAATTCAGCTTTGAGTTAAGAAAAGCTACTTCCAAACTGATGCTGTGTCCTGTCTTATACGATTTTCCTCTGGCCGCTGAGAAATCTCTATTGCTTCTCGAAATTACTGGTAGGCATATGAGGGCCGGATACGATTACAGTTACAGAATCAATTACAATTATTCAGTTACAACATCAATTACAGCTATACAGGGACCGGACCAAAATGTTGCCAAATACTCGCCAAGTTTGGAGAGTTTTGACAATTTATCACCAATTTTGGGGACAAAAATTATTCCCCGAAAACCATCGTCAACTTGGCGATATCTCGCCTATTCACCGCGATAGCCATTTCCTCAATGTTAAATAGGCTTACCCCTGTTTTCTTACTTTTCCTACAAGCTTCGCTTGTTTATATTTTCATGTGGCATTGTACAAAAAAAATACAATTTTGCATACATTTTCACTAAAATTATTTATATCTGCAGGAAATTTGTAGTAGTATAGATCTTGAACACAGAACACAGATATTGTATGTAAAAATAAGAAAACTGGAAAAGCTTTATTTTGTATGTTTGTATTCGTCTAAAGCTGCCCTGTGCACAAAAAAACCGGTTATTTGACTGAAATTCTTTTGAAAAATATTCTGCTTAACGTTTTCCTTTACCGACACTTACCGACAGCTTTCGCTCAACATATTACCTCCAGTGGCTTGTAATGTTTTTTTCTAAATTAACGCTTTTACTTTTTTGTTTTCCAGTCTCTTAATATAGGGTCAATCATTTAAGATTCCTTAAATTTGCTCCACAAATAGCTCAACAAAATTACAACTTAGAGATGAGTGACTGCAATGATCTCAGAAACTGCAATGATCTCAGAAACAGGAATGAAACAGGAATGATCT